GGATTTGAAAAACCATTAGTCAGATATAAACTAATTATTTTAGAGGAATGGTCGCGAAAGAAATATTTTTCCGTAGATATTCGAAAAAAAAAATCAAAAAATAAATAAGGTACCTGACCCAAATAAGGCCATGTACCTAATAAGGCCAATGCCCCTTATTGCTTAATATTGAATCCCATAATCAAAAATTGAAATATTATTGAAAAAGATATCTATTATGCAAATCAAAAATTATTGCGAGGATTCCTAGCAACTCGTTATATGTCGAAAAATGGCTAACCACAGATTTCATATGTCACGTTATAACTTTGAGGCTGGAACTTAATTAGTTTATACACATGTTCAGAAAGGGAATGGAGCGAATGTAATTTTTACATGGACATTTATGTATTGAGAAAGCTACAGAGTATGTACAGAATAATATCTTTGCTAGATTTCTAGTTACAGAATTTTGTTTATCAATGTAACATGTTCCTAACAAGGCTACATGAAAAATTTTCAATTGGCCTCCCATCACAGTGTTTTTTTAAAAAGAATGTGTCATATTATTGCTTAAGTGATGTGTTCTAGAACGCCTGAAGTCTAACCAAGCAAGAAAAGCTGCGGTTCATTTGTCCTAGTTGTATGTAGACCTATTCGGATTACCATCCCTGGACTTCAAATTATTGTTTTTTTAGAATGCAGCAAACGTTAAAGTTCTATTTTGAGAACTTTATGTCGAAAAATAATATTTTTATGAATGATTCTATTTATTTTAAACATTTTTTATTGTTGGCCTTATTAGGAGCATAGTGATCCGAATAAGGCCAATGGTAAGGGTCATTGTTTTACGCAAAAACCACCACTTATATGTAAAAATAAATAAATTGGAGTTATTATTCAAGTAATAGAGGCGAAACACTTCACATATAGGCTCGTGATTCTTGTTGGGTTTGGTGGATAGTGTTCGGGAAAAATAAAACTTCTTAACATGGCCTTATTTGGGACAGGTACCTTATATTTTTTTTCAAAGCAAAAATATCAAATTAGACTCTAAAAATGTCATTTGGAACAATATTTTCTTATAAAATTTTTTCATATTTTTCATAAAAATGCCACTTTTCCTTGTTTGAAATTTTCAAATGGCATTTGACAGGTGTGAGGCAAGTCTCGAGTCAAAAAATTTAGGTGTTTTTTTGGTTTTCAGACATGCAGAAGCTAATGTTAAAAACCGATTTGAAGTAAGGATGAGCATAAGAAAATTTCCCATATGGTGCAGACTTTTCCGCGGGCACTGTATATACAAAACCATTAGCCAGAGACGAACTACAAAACCAATTCGATAGAAGTAATTGTAATAGAAGGATCTAGCTCTAGACCGAGTAGGGGCTAGGAACTTCAAACCAGAAGAAACAAATGGGTATGGACCAAAAGTAGACAGACCACAGTACCATTTCCACCACCATTCTCACAAAAGAGATGATCAAGGATTACTTGGGCCGTGGGACCGCGTAAGCCCACGACCCAGATGACCAAATCACCAAGAAGTACTTGGAGCCAGAACCAATCCACTTCAAAAACAGAATACAGCCAGTGGCGTAGCTATCGATGAGCGGGGAGCGCGAAGCGCTGGGGCCCCGGAACATAGGGGGCCCCGCAGGGCCCCTTTCTTAAAATCAAAAAAATCTGCAAAAATTCCTCAATAAAGCTTAGGCCGGGGTTATCCAATTCCTTAATTCCTAATTTTTGTTCTCAATGCTTAATCTTTAAAAACCCCAATGTTAAATAAATTGAACTTTTTAACAATTAAGAATTAAGGACAAATATTAAGAATTAAGGAATTGGGTAACTCCGGCCTTAGTTCATATACTTGCGAATCGCGAATTGTGGAAAACGAATAATGATCCTATTGATTGATTTGGCTTCCCGCCGCTTGACATTTAAAATCGAAGAATAGGATCATTATTCGCTTTCCGCAATGCGCGATTCGCAAGTATATGAAATAAGCTTATTGCGTTTCCGTTTTGCATTCCATGCCATCTTCTCGGCTCTCGGTCGGCAACGCGTCACGTGACCGCGTAGGGCCGAAAGCAGCCTACACCCAACGGCGCATGGCCGCATTGTACAAACGGTCGAACAAGTTCAATTTTGTTTCTGACATCGACGCAACGTATTTGATTAAGGTATTTTATTATTTGAGTCATGTACACGTCAAACTTCCTGAGTCCTTATTTTTGAAACAGGGGAGCAGCGTTCCCAGGAGAACGAGTGTTCCGTCTTTTGTCACTTATACTATCAGTTGCATATCATTGAGAAATCAGGAACACTCGGTCTCCTGAGAACGCTGCTCCAATAAGGTCCTTTAAGCGGCTTCAAAAAACCAAGTTGGACAATATTTTTCATATCTTCAACCTGAGCGTTGGAACATTTTCGCACTGGCTCTTCGTAAAGTTATCGTTCTGACGTCCCTAAGGAAGGTGATACATGTACAATCCGTTGTTTTCAATCTGATACTCCAAAGCAAGGGCGGTTTAAAGGGGGGGGTAGAAGGGGTAATTACCCCCCCCCCCCCCAGACAAATATTTTTTTAAATACATTTAATAATTACAACAAAAGATAAGTTCTACAAAGTAAAGCATTAAAGGCATTGTATATATTGATAGGCTTACCAGTATGGACGTACGTACCTACTACTATACAGTGAAAAAAAAGGGTATTCCATTGAAAAAAAAAATGAGTGATGGTTGTTTGGAATACCTGGTTTTGTGTACAGTATTGCGAACACCCTGTAGAATATTATCAGATTTTCATATAAAATAACAAAGTTCTGTCGCATACTTCATTTACAGAGAACCCTGTGTATTCAAAAATATTTTTAACTAATTAGATTGATTCTTGGGTATAGGAACTTTGCCAACTTCGGCTATGAATTAAAGCAGTCTTTTTCCTGGCACCGTTTCGTAACTTTAATTGTTACTTTTTCAAGCCAGGAGAAAGTTTTAATTCCTAACCGACGTTCCTATACCTAAGAATCAATCTAATTATGTATCAAGGAGACGAAACCTCGCCAAATTTTTTAACTACCTAATGCTCCTAGGGAGTCAAACAACTTTGTAATGAAATATATATTTTTTTTCTTGCATCACCCTATATAAGGATATATTGTTCGAGTCCGATATCGCACTAAGTGGACACCCTGTACAACTATTTTGACGGCATCGGGATACATTTTTGCCCCAGGCGTGTTTTAAACGACTTTTGGGTACAAATTTGGGCGTGGCACCCAAAAAAAATTCCGGGAGACCCCGTCATCCGTTACCCTCCCCAGAAAATCATCTATGGACCGCCACTGCCCAGAGGAAATGTGAGGTGGCTCCCTACGTTAGAACGCCAATGATCACCTGACGTCACACCTGTTTTTGTCTTATGCTTCACCCCCTCGCTCCTCAGTCCTAATTCCAATCGACTGTTTTCTATATTACATTAACGACATGACATCAAATTTGTTGGACAAAAATCACTTGACTTTGGGGAAGGTCCGACGCCCCCAACCTGACGCTCTACAAATTTTTTTTTTTTTTGGGGGGGGCTATGAAAAAGTTTGCGCTCGGGCCCATGAGGACCTTGCTACGCCACTGAATACAGCACAATGAATAAGAAAGAAGCATAACAAACCAGGAAACGACACTTAGACCGTGGGACCGTTAACACCCCACGATCTAGCTGACCTACCAAGAAGTATTTGGAACCAGAACAGACCCACAATACAGAAAACAGGACCGGACCAAAAGAAAAAAACCCATGGCTGAAGCGGTGAAGTTGATGATATTTCTCAGTTGTAAGATATATTTTTTTTTATAGTAACCTGAATAATAATGCACCCTGACCCATCCAAGCAGGGATATTTTATAATTAGGATATTATTGTAAAAAAGGGATATTTTTAGGATCAAGACATTATTGTATTTTTTGACATTATTATGGTATTTTCATATATTTTGTTTTAAATGTCTCTTCCAAGCATTGGGGTCCAAAGCTTCATGGAGGGGGGGGGGCATATGTCAACTAGCTGCTTAGGAAAGGAGGACCCGGTATACAACCTTATTAATGTAATTGCCGATTCGATCGGATGATTATTGCAATTCAGCAATAAATTGATATAAATAGTGGGCCAAGCCAAGCAACAGGCAGACTTAAACCAGTGCAACTAGCTCTCGTTGGGAAAGCCCCTCTGGAATTAAGTCTCCCCAGTGCAAGTACCTCTCGTTGGGAAAGCCCCTCTGGACAAGGCATAAGGGTGACGATAACTAATCGACTGTCTCCCAAGCAGCGTTGACGTGTTGCTCCCTATAAGTGCCCCAGTGTTCGAAGGGTCATGCATCTTATAGGACTAGCGTACATGTAAGGGCATATTTGGGAAAATATATATCTACACTTTTATATAACTTGAGCGAGTTTCTCTCCATCGACCCCCAAAGCTATAAATCCCCATGTCACCTCCGTAAAGCGGGCAGTTGTGACATATTCAAGAGTTTCATGAAAGCTGAAAATTTAATATAAGCTTGTAATTGTGATGTACCTTTTGTATATTTTAAGTGATACCACTATTGCTATATCCGAAACGGTGAGATCTACAAGGTCGGTTAAAGTTAAAAAAAATGCCTTTTTTGATGCCCTCCTGACCAGAGAGATTCATAGAATGAGTACTACCCATCTTTCACTCACCTTCCACCACAGACAGCCCTTTTATACTTTTACTACCCCCTTCAGGTATTACTTTTTTCTCTTTTAGGGCTAGGAAGAACAAGATGGAAGAATTAACATTAAAACTGTTCGCGGATAATATCAGTGATATAAGCTATATAGGTACACAGAAAGGAACCCAAAATGCCCTGTGATATGCCTTTTTTTATTTATTGACGATCAGAGTCAGTGGTGTCAGAGTATTAGTGTTGATATAAGTGACAAATGAAAGAAATCGACATACCTACTGATTATATAAGTACAAAAAATAAACTATACCTGTCTTTTTCCTCTTGATCGAGTAAAATCCGGTCTATCAGTAGGAACATTGTCCCTCAAATCGGTATCACGAGGACCTTCCCAACTTCTTCTCTCCCATTCCGAGCTATACTGATCGTGTTCTGCGAGTCCACCTTCAAGGGTACCCGAGAAACTACCACCTCTCGTACGCTGTCCCCATTGACGTTCGCCAGATGACTGACGTTGTCCGGACGATACATCTTTAAAACAATATCAAGTTAAACAAAGAACAAGAGGAGCCGTCGTGTACTTACCCACAGCTCCTCTACCTCCTGCCCCCGTTCCTAAATCAATAGTTTGCGTTCTGAAACCACCTGCGCCTGAAGCGGCTCCTTGTGCAAACTCATCTCTAGTGGCAGTAGTGTCGGCAGTGTTCCAGGTGCGATTGAATGCTCTGCTTCCGGAAGACGCTGCGTGCGATTCGTCATGGTAGGTTCCTTGAGCATCAAAGTATCCTGTGCGGGTACGACCTCCTTGTGATACTTGGCTTCCACTCGATTCTCCAGACTGAAAGAATGGAACCTAGATTATGGGATTGTTCCAGAACGTGGGGAAAGCATAAAATCAAGGGTTTATTATGCCACTATGAAATCGTAAATGCAAATTTGTAACAGATTTTTTGGGAATTTGTATGTTTTTTTGTTTGTAAGTATGCAGCAAACCGATTTGAAATTTTTCTTTATTTGAAGAAAAACATTTCTACTGGGTTTAAATTTATTACTTATCGTAAAAGGTTTTAAGTACCTGTTGACTCCATTGTCTTCTCCTTTCTTCATCAGCGCGTCTTAGTTGCTCTTCATACAATCGACGTCCTTCTACTTCCTGTCTCCGTGTTTCCTCTTCTTGTCTACGACTAATTTCTTCGTCCCTTTGTTGTTGCAATCTTCTAGTTTCAACATCCGAAACTGGTTGCCTTCTCCTCTGGTCTTCTAAACTTTCCTGTCGTCTCCTTTCCTCATCGCGTCTTATTTGTTCTTCGTAGGCTTGTTGCCTTGCTCTCCCCTCCGCAATTCGGGTTTCTTCGATGCGTCTCAATTGTTCTTGATATCGGCGGCTTGTTTCTTCTTCTTTAAGTCGGCGATCGTGTTTTTGACGTTCTTCTTCTTGAGTTACAACTACATTTGAACCTAAGAAATAAGAAAAGGATATTAAATGTAAGATCAAACGTCATTATTGATGTGAATATTTACCTGTATGTCTTTGTTGCTCTGCCAATTTCACTCTACGATCCTCTTCTAGTTTTATTCTCTGTTCTTCTTCCAGTTTTATTCTTTGTTCATCTTCCAGTTTTCTTCGTTGTTCCTCTTCTAATTTTCTTCTCTGTTCCTCTAATCTCAAACGTTGTTCATACTGCAATCTTTGTTCATATCTGCGCCTCTCTTCAGTGGCTGAATTATCAGTGCTACCAACTGCAACCGAAGCTTGTTGACTACTTTGACCTCCGCTCACTTGAGGTCCATATCTACTTTGGAAAGATAATAAGTAGAAATAACTTATATGTTAATATAAGTTAGGTATTTTACCTGACAATGTGTTCTTCTTCATATGAGTTTCTGGCACCACCTTCTCTAGCACCACCTCCAACAGTATAAGCATGCTCTTCGCGATATTTAGGTTCGTTAACGAAGCCACTTGGGCCTGCGCTGCTTTGTTGAACTGTACTACCTGATTAAATATTTTAAAGATATCAATAAAAGAATTATCTTTTTTCTGTGACGGGAAAAAAGTAGACTTTTTGTACCTGTTGACAGGCGCAAAAAAGTCACTTTTTCTCCCATGGGAAAAAAGTGATTTTTTTTCCCGAGGGAGAAAAGGGAATAATGTATAGATGGAAAATGGTGAGATTTTCCCGTCACAGAAGAAAATAGTGTACTATAGATGGGAAAAAAGTAAGACAAACCACACCTCGGGCCAAAATCTAGTACTTTTTTCCCTTGTATAATAAATAAAAATATTATTTTGAAAAGAATACTTACTGGTCTTTCTTTCCTGGGTTTCAGTTTGTTGTGCTCCACCGATACCAGAAATTGTGAGATTTTCTTCATCTGTAGCCGAGCTGCCACCTGAGGAACTGTAGACTACTTTTGGCTTTGGTCGTTGTTCGTAGCCGCCTATTGAAATATATTTAGTTGGTTAATATATAATTACAGTGTGTCAATTTGGAAGCTCTCTACTCCTATTATCTCGGAGTAGGAAAATTTTCGAAAAAATCCCTGAAATACGTCAACTATAATTTGAAGGGGGATAAGTTTTATGCAAAATTCACCTCCCCTCTTTCAACCCCCCAGCCCCCAGAAGCCAGTGGCGACGCGTGACAAGCAGTCTGGGGAAGGGGGAATGGGAGGGCCAACCAATAAGCCACCACATAATAAAAATAACTCTGTAGCAATTACCAATTCCATAACTATCAATAAACTTCAAACGCTCGATCAAATTTCCAGCCCAGTATTCAGCAAAATTTCCAAAACGCCACCCAAGCTCAGGGACCATCAATGTCATTTCCCAGCAGCCTATTAACATTCAACCTAGGCAAGTTCAACAAAACTTCTCTACCATTAGGCAAGTTTTCGGAAAACCGAAAGACGTATTTTTTAAGGGAATTCGAAAAAACCTACTGGCAATTGGCAACCCAACACCAATGTCCACAACAAGCAGAATCCCCTCGTTGCAAACAAGATATTCTCAAAGGCCAACTATGCGTCAAAATTTCAACAACTTCCAACGCAATCCCTTTACTCTCGCAGAGTTAACCCATTTGCAAGAAGATGCTTCTGCGTATCCTCCGAACGAAACATCAGGAGATTACTACGTCGAAAATCAATCCCAATTTGAGCCTGAAAACAATGAATATTATAATGCTGAAGAATTCGAAAATACCCAGTACGAGCCGACAAACAACGTAAATTTTCACGAAGATCCCTCAGAAACATGGGCGCCGGCAGCAAGGTGCAAGGGGGTGCACTTGCACCCCCCTGTTAAAAATACATTGAAAAAATTATTATTATTTTATTATTATTATTTTTTAAATAGTTATACTGTTTGAAAAAATTGGCGAAACGAGAAACGATGGCCCCCTCGGACTGTTTGTTCCCCGTGACATTCCTCGGCTCACTTCCGGCTCGGATCGGGTTATTTTATTTTTATTTCGCGCCATCAACCTGTAGAATGGCGGGAATTTCGAATCTACTCAAATTCTAGTTTAATTATGTAAATTTCATTAACTTCTAAAAATTGATAGGTCGAAAAAAGTATTAAATTGCGAGAAGCCCGTGCCCAGGGGCGGACATATGTCCGAGCAGATCGGTGCGCCGCCCAGCCCAGGCCCACGATCCAAAAGGGCCCCACGATGCTGCGGAAAATTTCGAATATATAGGAAAAAATGTCATACATGCAAAACAAATATAATAACATTTTAATTAAGCTACATTCAATAGGGACTCAATTCCTATCTTCTAAAATAGCATTTACCATACCGCCCATGCCTAATAATATTCGTTTCTGTGGTTGAGAGGATCTGGCAACGCTGAGCGTGCTTCCGAAATATTCCGAATATATCCGACCATAATTTCGAAAAACACAGTCCGACCCAACCGTTCATATATTGTGATTTGATTACCACCATTTCCAGGCCGCATTTTTATTTTCCTACTTTTTACGTGACACTCAAGGGCAGTGGCGCACCCAGGGAGAGCATCGGTCCAGCCCCCCCCCTCTAGGCCACCCGTCCAAAATTGTATTTTTACGTCCAAAAAAAAATTGACATCATGGCGTGGCACCCTGACACGTCAATTTTTTATTTAGATTTTTAGACACAAGCCACAACCTTTGTAGGGTCCCCCCATTCCCTATAATCATATTTTCTGGGTGCGCCACTGCTCAAGGGATAGGTTAGGCCTAGGGGCCCTCAAATATATTTAGCCCTAAGGGCCACTGGTCCCTAGATTCGCCACTGCCCGTGCCACTTTCCACCGAGGTGAAAACATCATATAATTTACTTAGGGTGGATTGCACAAAAAAAATTACTCCTCATTCTTAGCACGTACTTAGCTAAGCATGATCTTAAAATTTAAGTTTGCATTGATCGCTTTGGCTTGCACCAACTTTACGTAAAGGAAACTTAGCTAAGGTTAGTTTGAATTCCGAACTAGCTGGCAACAGCGTAGGATGTACGCATTTCGATTCAAATACAGAATATACGTCATAGTTGTTATTCGTGTGAGAGATAAAGATGAAAAATGTTTATGAATTCTTGAGAGAAACCAAAGAAACCAAACAATACGAATCAACACCAAATTCACAAGTACAAACTACAAACATAACCAAGCTTTGTCCACCCAAATTAACCTTGAACCACGAATTCGCCACTCTTTCGCATTTGTATGTAGGTGATCTGTGGTATTATGCCCAGGCAAACTTAATTTTTTTTTATTTGTATTTTTTGGTAATAAAATAATAATTTAATACAAACTGCCTTTATCTATATCTATATCTATATCTTATGTCTTACTACTTCTATTTTGCATAGATGCACAAAAATTGGATTGGTTTTCTTTGCTTTTCCTAGCCATACTGATGAGACCTGATATAGGTCGAAACGCGTCTATGGATGGAAAAGCAAAGAAAATTAATCCAAAATTTTCTATATCTACATCTATATCTATATCTATATCTATATCTATATCTATATTCTATATACATATATAAAAATCAATGTTCGCGGGGTATCCGGGTATGCGCTCCTACACCAATTATCCGATTACGATGAAACTTTGGTAGATTGTTATGGCCATCCCAAGGAAGGTTTGTGGATAGGTTACGCATCTCGGAAAAAGAAATTAATTTTGAATTAATTATTAATTTAATTGTAAAAAAAATTAATTAACATTACATAACAACAACCCAACTTTTTTTTGACAGCATGAAACAACGTTGCCATATTTCATTTATTGCTTGCGATTCAATCGACGTAACTTTATTATTTTTTGAATTCGAGAAAATCTGGTCCGATTTTGAATTTAATACCACGTATCTCTATACAGGGTGTATATTTTAAGTGATACCACTATTGCTATATCCGAAACGGTAAGAGCTACAGGGTCGGTTGAATTAGAAAAAAGTTGCCTTGTTTGATGCCCATTTAAGACTCGTTTACAGTGTTGCCAAATTTCTTTTAGTTTATGGAATACAGGGTGATTTCTAAGAAACGTCCAAAAACATTTCATCATTTATTTCGAAAACTATTGATTTTTGAGACACAGTTTAAATTTAAAAGTTTTATAATTTTTTTCGCTCTACAACATGGCATCTTCAAATTTCAAATCCGACGTTTCGTGATCAGGATACCATCATCAACTTCATTTTTTTCAATACGGACCTGGATTTTTTATGTCATTTTTAGGAAGCGCCCTCAATTCTCTTTCCAAAAATGACATAAAAAATCCAGGTCCGTATTTAAAAAAATGATGTATGATAAAAAGTTGATGATGGTATCTCGATCACGAAACGTCGGATTTAAAATTTGAATGTTGTTTGCCATGTTGTAGAGCGAAAAAAATTATAAAACTTTCAAATTTAAATTGTGTCCCGAATATCAATAGTTTTCAAAATAATTCACGAAATAATTTTAGGCCTTTTTTATAAATCGTCCTGTATTTCATAAACTTAAAGGACTTTGGCAACACTGTAAACAAGTCTTGAATGAGCATCAAAACAGGCAACTTTTTTCTAATTTAACCGACCTTGTAGCTCTTACCGTTTTGGATATAGCCATAGTGGTATCACTTAAAATATACACCCTGTATAAGCTGAATTCGATTGACCTAGATTAGATCGATTTGGGTTCAATTTAAGTGAACTTCTTCTGATCTGGATCATTTTTTTGTTGATGAGGGTGCACTGATCCAGGCTCAATCGAACACAGTGTGGTTCACTTAAATTGAACCAGATCGATCTAATTCGGCTGAAGAGGGGAGTGCTATAGGCTATTTTTTATCCCGAAAAAAAAGTTCGGTTGCGCGAAACTCTGATACACTGGAACGCCTATAAACAGCCCGGGGCGCTCTAGAACAGCTATGGAGTGCTTAAAATGCATAACTGAACTCACTGGCAAGCGATTCTGGTATCGGATAAAAAAAAAAAAAAAAATTAAATAGATTATTCCACTCATGTGTTAGAAATCCCATAAGACAAGTGACGATTTTCAGAATTTCAGCGAAAATTCTCTTTTCCATTTGTTTAACTAGAGAGAATTACAGCGATAATTCTCCCATGTTATTGTATACATGGTTGTCATGCTAATTTTTGAGACAAACAAACGGTTCCTGATAGCAACCATTTATTTGTATTGATTGTTAAGATTTTCAAATCGTTTAATACATATTTATTTCCATATTTTTTGCATTCTCATACGTGAAATAATCCTCTAAATACCACTTGAGCTTTAAAATGAACCAGATAATTTTTCACTCATGCGTGTTTTCTCTGCAAATTTCACTCGTCCTACGGACTCGTGAAATTATAGAAAACACGCAATCGTGAAAAATTATCGGTAATTTTGAAGTTCTCGTGGTATTATCCCCGAAAATCATCAACAAAATTTGAAAAAAAGTGTATTAATTTAAAATGTATTTTCACGCAGCAGGTCATTAGCTAGTTTTATATAAAACACAATATCTAATAGGGAACTTGCACATTAAATTAAATATGGAATAAATAACAAAACATAATAACAATCATCCTAATCGCGATCAAAAACGAATTTCTATGGGTCGTGACGTCACAAGGTAGTAATAATCGGGTCGCGCCGCTGCCTCGTCATGTGCTGCTGGTATCGCCAATGTCAAATCTATCAAAAACTGCATACATAACAACATAACCATAATCTTAATCTACCTGCTCGAAGTACGAAGTGCTCGTCACTGTCATCGGAATTTTGTTGCCGAGTGACGTCACACTAATCGGTCGTTTCAAATGGCGATGTTTCGAGCGTAACTTCAAATATTTATAAAAAATTAACGGCTGATTTTTAATGCTTGATATTTGGCATGACTATGTCTTTAGTGTAATAGAACACATTTTTGAAATAAAAACAAAATGTGCAAGTTCCCTATTT